CCATATACCAGAGACATTCTGTGGGGGTGGAGTGGGAAATGGGATCAAAAACAGGGCGGGGACGAGGGGAGGGAAGTGCACAGGATTATGGTGATGACACACGGGTGACTTGGTGATGGGAAACCCACAGGGATTACAATTGAGATGGAAAAATAAAAGTACAAAATGATGTAAAAATAAACTGTTATTTAAAAAAATGGGAAAAAAAGTATTCTTTGATTATGGGCAGGAGGAATTGTCAAAATAACCATTTTATCCAAAGCAAATTACAAATTCAATGCAATCTCAATTAAAATTTCAATGCCATTCTTCAAGGAAGTGGAGTGAGTAATACTGAAATTCATATGGAATGTTAAAAATCCCTGAATAGTCAAATCTCCCTTGTAAAGTGAGGGGGAAAATGGGGATATTATGCTTCCAGAATTCAAAGTATACTCTAAAGCTATAATGATTATGACAAAACAACATTGCACTAGATTAAAAAAAGATACATAGACCAATGGATTAGAACAGAACTCAGAAATAAAATCACACATTTATGAACAATTAGTTGATGATAAAGAGTGAAATATTTACATTGGGACAAGGAAAGACTCTTCAATAAGTTGTGCTGAGAAAACTAGACAGCTACATGCAAAACAATGAAATTTGAACCACTAATTTCATGCCATACATAAAAATTAACAGTAAGTGAATAAAGGACATAGATGTAAGGAGGAAGCCTACAGTCTAAAGCAAGTATATTTATCTCAGGGAAAATATACAGGAAATCATAATAATTAGAATAAATCTTCCTAGAAATAGTCTAGTAGAGCCTCACCTCCCTGATTCAGGAACCAAATTACTTGAACAGTATATTGGTCAATGTCTTGTTCACGGAAGGGGTAAGTTGCTTCAGTCTACTGTTACTGAGTTTCCATATGTGTAGAAGGAGCATAATAATTGTAGAGAGGTGGTTTTGAAGTTCAAATTATACACTGAATGAGCTTGAATGGTCTCCATGAATTATAGTTATAATTGTTGATAGTGTTATTTAGCCTGTGCTTAGGAAAATGAATTTCACAAACTCTTTGAAACAAAACACAAAATTTGACATCAAGTGGTAAAGGAGTTCTAGCTATTATCAATATTCAGAAATATTTAATAGAGAAATTAGTAAAGGCAGCAATGATTATGTATTTTAAATATATACCATCAAGGTGTTCTACCATTTTTGGTATTTTTTTACATATTCAACAGTTTTCAAAATCATGTTTTGGTAAAATAATGTATTTTAAGAAATGTGTCAGTAGAAAGAAAAGACTAAAATTAAATCAAATATTTGAATTGATATACAGATTTATAATAACATAATTGAATACATTTTTATATTTTTGTGTTTTGTATACATTTATTGAAAAAACTCATAGTTGTTTTAAGAAAAACGTCTGCCATATTGTAAGATATGTCTACACATGAACTGCTTTAACCTACCAACTGGATCTTTGGCAGCTGATTCTGAGATGTCCTTAGTCTGTAATGATGACATTAGCCTCCTGGTAGACCAGGACTCAACTTTCCATGACTGACTTAAATTTCTTTATTTGGAGGTTAACCTTAAATTAAGACATAGTAACATTCACAGTTCTCTACTGTTTTTCTTATTGCAACCAAAAGAATAGTTATTAACACCCTGATCAATCACAGTAGCTTTATGAAAACTTTGATCATAGTAAAGTCATGTCTATCACAGGTGTTGTGAAGTACTACATTATATGACAACTAAGTTAATCCCTTTAAATATAAAACTATTGGGTGATTCCCAAATATCATATATTGAGTCAGAATTCAGCTGTACATATGTAAATTTTGTAAGTTACATAAAAATCTTTATATTTTATATTCTCTTAAATTCAGTTCTTACATGCTTGCATTTAGACATGATATTTCTTTCTAAAAACATCTTCGCCATGGAAATAACACATTTCATTTCTTCCTTTTAGTATTATGCAGTGAATACCTCTGAACTTCAAGCTCACTTGTCTTTGCATGCTTTCATACTTTTGTGGTACACAAACTCACAAAAATGATTCAATACTATATCAGGTATTGATAATAAAGCTGAAGAATTTTAATATTTTATGTAAGGAAATAATGTACTTCATGGAGTTATTAGGGAATTATGAGTCATAGGAAAAGACATATGTGGGAACATATACCCAGTGACCAACACAGATGTCAGATGGATTCCCCAGCAGGTAGACAAATATTAAGATTATAGGATGAGAGTTTGCAAGTTTCTGATTGCCATCTGCCTAGACAAAGATACGTAGGAAAAACCTGACTATTTTATGACCCAGTTCTAAAATTCTTTGGTATTAAAGTAACTTCTAGAACTCAACAATCAGAATTTGACTATAAAAACAGGTGTCTCCAGAAACATTATAATCAATGTTAATAAAGAAGGTAAATTAAAAGAGATGTTGAAAGGCAGAGAGTATTTTGTCTCTTTCTGTACTCTTGGACTATGTGTGTATTCTTACCACACAGATAGGATTTGCATCACCCTCTGGGATCTACCCAGGGGCCAAAAATATTTTTTTGCCCAGGGTTCTGCGAAGAGCTGCCTTGACTTCCTTGTTCCGTAAACTGTATATGATGGGGTTAATCATAGATGTAACCACTGTATAGAACAGGGCTAGGAGCTTGTCTGTTCCTGGTGAATGGCTAGCCTTGGGCCTCAAGTAGGTAACAGATCCTGATCCATAGAACAGTGTTACCACAAGTAGGTGAGAAGAACAAGTTGAAAGAGCTTTGCGGCGTCCTTCAGGTGAGGGCATGACCAGCACAGCAGCTAGAATTCTGCAGTAGGAAGCAACAATCAGTAAAAATGGACTGGCAATGCAGAAGACCGCCGCAACAAAGACAGCAGCCTCATTTTGAGATGTGTCCCCACAAGCCAGTGCCAGTATAGGGGGGAGGTCACAGAAGAAATGGTCTATTTCACAAGGGCCACAGAAATTCAAGGAGAAAATATAATTGGTCTGGCCCAAGCCTACTACACATCCCACTCCCCAGGAAACTACTGCCAAACTGGCACACACTCCGTGATTCATGCGTGTTGCATAATGAAGGGGCGAACAGATGGCCATATAGCGGTCGAAAGCCATGGCTGCCAAAAGACAGCACTCACTGATCCCAAAAAGGGTGAAGAAAAACATTTGGGTAGCACAGCCCTCCCGAGAGATTCCTCGGGCCTCACTGATAAGGCTGCGCAGCATCTTGGGGATGACAGAGCAAGTATAGCCGATCTCCAAGAAAGACAGGTTGGCTAGGAAGAAGTACATAGGCGTGTGGAGAACAGGATTGGTACATATGGTTAGAGCTATGAGAGCATTGCCTGTCAGTGAGACTAAGAACATGAGTAGGATGAGGGTAAATAGAAGGAAGCACTGTTCCGGGACTTCGGAGAATTTTGCAAATACAAAGTGTGTGACAGACATGTTGTTTTCCTGCCACAAAGAGCAATTGAGGTTCATATCCTGACAAAGAGAAAGGAAAAGTCATCAGGATTCATTCTGATACAATTATAAATCTACATTACTTTCAATGAGTTTTCCTATCAGATTCTAGTTTTTTTTTTTTATCTGTTTCTAAAAATAAAAATCTGGAAATTACACTGAAGCTCATACTTTTTCAAACCAAATACTTCTCCATGTTCAGTGTTGCAGTTTATTTATTCAAAATATATGTAGAGTCCACTTATAAAAGGAAAAAAAATTAACTTATGTCTCTCTTCATCCCTTTAATGCTGCCACATCAAGGTCCTTTCATACTTATCATTGTCTTTGATTTAGGTTTCCATTGACTTGTTTTCCTCACCATTCATTTAACATGTATTTATTACATATATTGCCATGAATTATTTATTTCATCACTAAATTTGTACCTTTTCAGTAATATTGTATTAGATTTTACAAGTTTCAAAAAATCTTAAAAGTGTACAGGAAAAAATATTGGACTTTGTATGGTGACAGTAACTAAACTTTTGTTGGGGGTTATTTTTCAGTTTTACCAATATTAAACCAATATTGAACCATTTTTTGGTATATCTGAAGTCAATAGAATATTATTTGTAGTATTGTATGTAAGTTATACCTGAGTTTTAAAAGTGCCAAGTATAGATTGTTTTTATTATTTTCAGCTACTCTTTTAGGTCCTAGGAATCAATAAAAAAAGAAAGAAAGAAAGCACTACCTTTTTTTTCCCAAATGGAACTTATTTAGTAAAAGGAAGCATTCAATAAGTAAATAATTGCTGAATTGGATGGAATTCAATCCAGGGTATCTTCTGGTGACTGATGAATTTAGGTTGTGTGGTGGAGGAGGTATTGACAGGAGAAGAATGTATTGTATGAATAACATTCACTAGCATTCAATAGCATTCACTAGAAGCCTGTCAAAAGCTTCATATATCTATTTTGTACTCCTGATTTAATTTCATCATTGTGGCAAATTTCTTTTCGGATAGTGTTTCCCATCTGCTATACTTTCTCCATTATTTTGCTCTTTAACAAATGCAAATTAACATTGTTTCATGTTGAACTTCAGTATTTTAAATGTAATTAATGAAAGTCTGTTGATGGAAGCCTTTATATCAACTCTTATGGGGCTCACATCGTAGTCACGTGAAACTACTCTCATCTTTAAATTAGGAATTTAATTCATAAAATAATTGCTTGTCTGTGCTTCCTTTTATTTGTGCATTTTCCCCACAAGGACTTTCCCTTGGCCTTCTTTTTTGTTCATCCAGTGAGCTACCTCTCTATGTTTAAGTTTTAGCTTTGCCTCTTCTCAGGACGTTTCTTCCCTATTTCCGCTCTCTCTGTCCCCCTGCACTAGTCAGTTACCTGATCCCTTCACTTCACTTCCCATCATTCTGTAACTGCTATGACACTTTTATAGCACACCAAGTACTGTTAATAGCTAATGTGTTCATGAGTGTAGCCTCTGACAAACATATAAATAAGAGATATTTATTTACTTTTGTTGATCATTAAATTTACCACTATAACAAACAGATTCTCATGGAATAAATAAAAACTTGAATACTAAGCTGTATATCTTGCCCATTGAGCTTATTCCATTTTCTAAAGTTATTTATGTTAAATCTGATCTTCCTCAAAGATCTCATATCTTAACAGTTATGATATGACTCTCAATCTAAAAATTATGAAGTCATGAGAAATCCTGACAAAATATTCCTGTTCTTTTTGTGAATATACAGTAGTTTAGATTGTTTTGATTAAATATTATAAACCAGAATTCTAAGCATTGTTACCCAAATAAAGAACAGAAAAAATAGGGGTTTCACTTTTATTTTTTCTGGACTCTCATTAGTATAACCTGAGTTTTCACTTATATCTTTGTCTATACCACATATAATTTATTCTACATGAATCTTTTATGCCAGTGTATATAAAAGTAAGCTTTTCAAGGTTCCAAATTCTTCTGTATAGACAAACAGTAAGTACATAAAAACATGTAGAACAATGTAAAATTTTCTGTAAACACATACACTTGTACACTGACAGACAGAAACATATACATGTAAAAACATATAGAACAATGTAAAATTTTCTGTAAACACATACATTTGTACACTGACAGACAGAAACATATATATGCAAAACCACACTGAGTAGTATAGTAATTAAAAGTATTCTGGATACTATCTGGGTCAAAATCCTAGTATAGCAATTGAATGCTGGGACAAAGTTGATATTGAAGAACTTAGCTGTTCCTCAGTTGTTACATTTATAAAAGTATAAAAGTAGGTGATAGGACCGTCCTAATGGGACTGCTCAAAGGACTAAGTATGTTAAAACCCAAAAAATCACTTAGATGATTAAGTATTCAATAAAAATTAGCTATAGCAGTGGTTTATATGTTTGCACTGGAAAAATAGAATTACCTTCAGATACATTCAGTCTTGTGGATTTTATATTACAGTCCTTAATCATTCCTCTTGTTCATTATCTTCATCTGCATTTCATGTATTCCTATTTATCTGCCATGATGAATAAAGGAAAAGAAAAAAAAATACATATACACACATACAGGCTTATATGCATGCCTATATATAAGTGTCACATAAATTTATACCCTAGACAAAATAGTTATATATTATGAATCATTTAATGCACTAAATTGATAGTCACTGAACTATACAAAGTTCCCAGTATTGATGATGAAAATAAGTGACTTCAATTTCAAATTTCTGTTAATTACAAACAGCAACTCTACATGATATGATTCCTACATATCAAGCTGTTTCCTATAATGCATTCACATATATAATAGCATTCATAAATATTTCCTTTGTATTGTAATTAATTTTAGTATCTGTATTTCTTATGTAGAAACATAATTCTACTAAGCCTGAAACAAAGAAGACAGAAACACTATTTTTTTTTAATCAAAAGATATTTTTAAATATCCTGACTCCTTAATAGGAGTATAGGAAATTGCATAGAAAACTGGATGTGGAGAATTTGTCATATCACTTGACAGTTAAAATGCAAAAACGAGGCCTCCCTGCTGGCACATTAAAGTGTCAGTGCTATCAAGCTATCAAGTTGCGTCATGACTTCAATCCTCAGCCAGGGAGGTGACCCACATGGTGCAGCAACTTCTCCTGTCTCCCAAGCTACTCCCCTCAGCAGTGTATCTCAGTGTATCTGCATGTTGTGCTCCCCATTCTGTCTCTGGTGAATCTTCTCACCTCCCTACTTCTGGCCTACACACCAATTCGTAGATGTATAAATAAATAAAAACAAAATAAAGTCTCCATCCTGCTGATGAAGAGAAACCACACCCCAAAAAGGACAATACATCCTCTAAATAGTGATATCACAAATATTTCTACAGTAGTACACATGTCCATTTAGACAGTCCCTAAATAATGCAAATGTTTGTGTTGGGAACTCAAGTCAGGGATGTTAGAAAGAGGGAAAAATCACAGATAGATGGCAGACAGGGAGGATTAAGTGCATACTGTTATCATTCCTTGGTTTTTGATTCACAGGATCAATAAGAAGGTATCTCGTGAGAACTACATTTGAAAACCTCATAAAATTTAGAGACAGTGGATTAAACTAGATATTAGAGGTACTGAAGTTAAGTCTTCAAGATACTTAAGGTGACAATGAATGGTACTCTTTTATTGCCATGTAAAAATATAGGTAATGAGTCCTCCCTGTTGGTGCAGTGGGTTAAGGTGCAGCATTGCATGTGAGCCGCAGCAGCTTCAGTGAGAGTTTGAACCCCACCCCAGAGGTGACCACATGGCATGGCAGACCTCTCTTGACCCGCCCGCTGCTCCCCTCAGCAGTACCTTGTCAGCAGTACTTTGTCAGTCTGCTCGTTATGCTCCCTACTCTGTCTCTGGTGAATTCTCTCACTGTCCTGTCCCTGCACCTCTGGCTTGTACCCCAATTCTGTATGCATAAATAAATCTTTTTTTAAAAAAATGTAATGAGGCCCTCCCTGGTGGCGCAGCGGGTTAAAGCACTGCACTGAGAAGCTAAAGCCACTTCCGCATGAGTTCGATTCCCGCCGGCCCTGGAGGTGACCACATGGTGTGGCAGATCTCTCCTGACCCGCCCGCTGCTCCCCTCAGCAGTGTACTTCGTCGATCTGCCTGTTCTGCTCCCCACTCTGACTCTGGTGAAGCCTCTCACTGCCCCTGCACCTCTGGCCTGTACCCCAGTTCTGTATGTATAAATAAATATTAAAAAAAAATGTAATGAGGAGAGGAGAGAATACAAATATAGCTATATAATCCTTTTAGGCAGTGACTGCCACTTGAACTATATCTGCCATATTGAACCAGGTCAAATCTGATTTTTTTTTCCTTAAAAATGACACTTTCTCTTAAAAATGACATTTTCTACTACTTACAAGATTTACTCTCTGTTGATCAGACTAAAGAGCTCCACTTTATGTGCATGTCAAGTACGTTTTGTATTCACCACTGTCTATGGAAAGAGAATGGGATGTTCAAGGCAGGTGTCAGGCATCTGCGGAAGGAAGCTGCACAGAACTTTGCATGGACAATGCTTCTCTCACCTGCAACTTTTCTTGACTTAAAATTTCTGAACCATCATTTACATATGAAGTTAGGATGATGAAGCCCCTCTGTATTTCTTGCTGAGTTGTTTTGAGTTACAAATGAAAACTCTGTAGAAGCAAAGCATGCACAAAAAAAAGAGAGGCATCATCATAAAAATGCAATGTGTCAGCATCAAAACAGCTAGTGTTTAAAGCTTCATGTTAGTGAACTCATGAAACACAGCATGGAATAGTTTCTATCATTATCAGTCTATAAAAATAGTCCACATTTAGAGCCAGTCATCAAGCAAATCGGCCCTTTGATATAGTGTAAAGATAGAGGAGCATCTTGCCTGATAATAAATTATATTTATAGATTCCTATGTTAAATAGTAAGTGATTGATAAGTAATAATATAGTAAGTAAGA